ATGTGGTTGGACAAGCTAACATTTAACTCCCTCCAGCTCTAAAATTCAGACATCAGAGCCAAGTATGAAGTCTTCTATCCCAGAATGACTGAAAAACTATTGGAAGTACCTCCTTTAGCACAGTCTGGCAGTCATTTCTGAATGTTCTTCCTCAGTGTCCTTTAAAGTAATAGGGAAAAGAAAAGAGACTGTTTTTCATTGGCCTATGGAATTGCAAAGTATGGTGGCCTTTCCTTCTGAATCCACTAGGACTCTACAGAGCCAGCCTTGCAAACATAAACCTCTTACTGATGACTGGTTAAAATACAGTAGTAGCTATCATTCATTAAGTATATTTGTATGTAAGATGTCAGCTCTGCTTTTTCAATATCTCATTTACTCAACCAAGCTGCTATTGTATCCATTTTACAGATGAAGTAACTGAGACCTCGGGAAAGGGTAAACAATTAACCAGCTATCACATAGCTGATAAAAAGTTGGCAGGAATTCAAAATCCTAGTTTTAGGGGTGCCTGTGTGGCCTAGTCTGTTGAGCGTCCGACTCTTTATTTCAGCTCAGTTCATGATCTCAGGGTCCTGAGATTGAGCCCCTTGTCAGGCTCCGCACTTGGGATTTTCTCTCTCCCTCACCCACCACAACACAGACCACACACGCACACACACACACACACACACTCATGTGCTCACGCCCTCTCTCTCTAAAAAACAACAACAAACAAAATCTTTCTTTTAATAGCTGCACTCTATGACCTGTTAATTAGGGATTAAGTCACCTAATGCTATGAGGGGGAGGTGTTATGAATGCTATAGGAGTTATGAATAACGGGAGGTATTATGAGTAACAGTTTTTATCCTTCTGAATTTTTCAAAGTGATTTAGGAGTGGCTTAGCTTTTCTTCTTTGCCCTAAGAAAAAAGGCAACATAGACTAGTGATAATGGCCTAGATCTCAATTCAACTCTACCATTTATACTATGACCTCAGGTGATTTGCTTATTTCTCTTAATCTTTTATTTCTTTATTCACGTAATAGATGTCTCATTGAACCTACTTCTTAAGACTATTGAGAGGGTAAAATATACTGTGTCTATATGTGAGGCACTCAGCATAATGCCTAGTCATAGTAAGTGCTCAAATCATCATTGAAGGGCTCCTTATCCTTAACTTTTGTTCCCCCCCCCCCTTTTTAACGCTACTTCAACAGCTGGCAGGGCAGCATGAAATTAAGGTTCTCCACATAGAAAACATTTTATTTAGTTTTTTTAAAGATTTTTTTTTAATTTATTTGACAGAGAGAAGCACAGTGAGAAAGGGAACACAAGCAGGGGGAGTGGGAGAGATGCAGACTCCCCGCCGAGCAGAGAGCCCGGATGCCGGGCTCCATCCCAGGACCCTGGGATCCTGACCTGAGCCGAAGGCCTAATGACTGAGCCACCCGGGCGCCCACAGAAAACATTTTAACCTGTCCCAATGAGGCGCCTGGGTGGCTCAGCATTTGAGCTTCTGCCTTCAGCTCAGGATTCACAAGAATCCTGTAGGGTATGTATTCATAACATCCCAGTTTTACAAATTAGGAAACATTCTCAGGGAGGTGAAGTCACATACACACATAGGATTCAGGTGTGACTGTTTTCAAACACTGTTCTTTTCCTAGACCAGGGGAACTCTAGCCATCTTACTGGATCAAAACTACCTAGTTGTCTTTACATACAATTTTTTTTTTAAGATTTTATTTTTTTAAGTGATTGCTACACCCAACATGGGGCTTGAACTCACGAGTCTCATGCTCTCCGATTTTCTTAATAGAAAATATTAGAGACAGAGCCTACATATGTGAAAGTCAACATATATGAAAGCATACACGGGCGCCTGGGTGGCTCAGATGGTTAAGCGTCTGCCTTTGGCTCAGGTCATGATCCCGGAGTCCTGGGATCGAGTCCCGCATCGGGCTCCCTGCTCCCTTGGGAGCCTGCTTCTCCCTCTGCCTCTCTCTCTCTCTGCCTCTCATGAATAAAAAAAAAAAACTTGGAAGCATACACATGTAAGATGTGCTTTCTTCCTATAGGTAGTGGGCAAAAAAGTTTGACAGTTATGTATTTACTTCCTGTGGGAGCTTTAAAAAGTTAATCTAACTAATCTATTCATTTATAAAATAGGGAAATAGTTTTCTTCTCTACTTCCTAAGAAGCTTGTTAAAAAATCTAATGAGATAATATATGTGGAAAAACCTCTGGAAACTGGGAAATTTCTTTTTTTTTAATGTTTTAATAGCTAAATTTTCTTTCTTTGTTTAGTAACATATAATGTATTATTTGTTTCAAGGGTACAGGTCTGTGATTCATCAGTCAGGAAACTTTCTATGCAAGTATTTGTACTATTGTAAACTTGCATTTGAGAGCCATAAGGAAAAGTTGCAGATGATAGAGAGATGTATGAATTCTTTGTGAACGTCCAATTTTTTGTGATCTTCCTGCCTCTTAAATATAAAGCGACCATCAGTCACCCACTGACAGAAGTCTCTTTCCAAGTACTGTAGTGTCTCACAAAAAGCCCCATTTCAATTACTATCAAGAACTGAATTGGAAAAAAAAAATGTAACTAACAATGATTAAGCTCTTCCCGCACACAAACCCAGAATTGGGTCTTTTTCTTTTCAGTAACCAATACTTATAATAAGCTACTAAACCAAAAATTACATAGGTAATCTTTATGCAAGGTGATTTTCTTTCCGTTTTATGATTCATTCTGGAAGCCGTGATTTATTAACCTGGAGAAAGATACGATTACTTAAGTGTAATATGTTTTTTTCACAAGTTCCAACAGGTTGAGCGAAAAAGATTATCCAAATACACTGCTCTTCCTTGTGGATACAATCCCTTATGATATGATACGATTTTTCCTGGGCCTTGATTATCGCTGCCCTTGAAAGTTCAACATTTTCTCTGTCCTCGCGTTTCGTTCAAATCAGAATGTGAGATAGCAAAATTTCTCGGGATGGGACGGGGCGGGGAGGGGGGGCTTGCGGAACAATTGATCTCCCCACGTCCCTTTTAAGATAGGAAACTACATCTGCATCCCTTCACTGGTGGTGAGCATCAAGTTTCAAAGAAGCATCTGGACTGCGGACACTGCCAGTGATCTCTGTAACTTGGAGAGGAATGACCACATTTCGGGAAACAAGCGGCAGCCAAGCCACCGAGGTCGGCTCGCAAGACCCGGAGGCAGTGCGTCAAAGACGAGCGGACTCGGAAGCCTTGCCCTCCTCTGGACTTTGTCCCTCCCGATTTTCTGAGCCGGCGAGCAGCCGCTCCGCACTGCAGCCCGAACCAATTGTGAAAGACCTAACCAAGCCCAGCCCAGCGGAAGGAACGGTTTCGGAGCCCTTCCTTGTTTTTGCTTTTACTCTCTCCGGTGTTGGACGGAATCGCCCTCCAGAAGCAATTGAGAGTGATTGGTGAAAGGCAGTACACCAAAAGCTCACGGCAACGACCAGGATGAAGTTTTTTCTGCATTGCCTCCAGCTTCTGCCCTTGCTGATCATCTTCAGCCTAGAGTCTCTCCTGAAGCTTTTTATTCCTAAGAAGAGAAAATCAGTTACTGGAGAAATCGTACTGATTACTGGAGCTGGACACGGAATTGGGAGACTAACTGCCTATGAATTTGCCAAACTTAAAAGCAAACTGGTTCTGTGGGATATAAATAAGGTAACCGTGCTTCCTGTGTTTTACTTTCTGTCCCCTTTAATCGTAGTCACGGATGCATTCTGCAGGCAACAACCCTGAACAGCATCTCTATAAAGCAGGGAGAAAAAAAAATTACTACTGGCATTTTACAGATCTATTAATGTTTATGATTACAGGATAAATGGACCTGGAGGATGTAAGATTCCCAGTTACTACCCATCACTAATTTTGCATTGTAAATGTATCCTTACTTTTGCCCAGAAATGAATCTGTGGTCTCCTCCAGAGCCTGATTTCACTGATCCCTCTATCTGAAACAAGTGGGAAGAGTAATGGTTTTTAAGCTAGTCTATTAAGAGGTTTGCACCTATTAAGAAAAAAGTCCTACTTGCCATTACTGAGATAAGTGGGTTTAAAAGACACCCAACAGAAAGCAATATTACTGTATCATAGCAATTGCCAAAAATAATTTTTAAAATCATCTTTCAGTTAAAAACAATATAAAAGAAAAAACTCTCTGGGGTACCTGGCTGGCTCAGTCGGTAGAGCATGCGACTCCTGATCTCGGGGTTGTTGAATTCAAGCCCCATGTCGGGCATCGAGTTTACTTAAAAAAGCAAAATTAAACAAAAAATTTTAAATAAAAATAAGAGGAAAAACCCTTCAATATACATAATGTTTTACAAGAATAGCTGTAGGCTTAAAGGAAGAGAGGAGGACTTAGAATCTAACCTTTTATATGGCCAGTGGTAGATGGACAGGGAGTTTTCTGCAAGGCACCTGAGGGCCTGAAAAGCCATCCCTTACACATCAGTAAACATCCAGCGCTGTGGCTGTAAACAAAAATTCAGGGAATGTGAAGTTAGATAATAGTTCTCCAGTGAGTGGGTGGTTGAGATAGCAATCAACAAGTACTTATTGAGTATCTGTTAGCTGGAGAGTAAGAACACAGTGGCGAATAGGCGAATAATCTTGTAGGGAAAATAGACTTTAAATAATTATACATGCAATGAAAGATACAAACTAGTCCCAGTCTAATCTGATGTCAGACATGGTGGTAGAGTCAAACTCAGTGGAGCTCTCCACCTCTTCATGAGCTACCTCCTAACTTTAGAATCCTTTTCTGCAAAATGGATAAAATAACAGTACTTACCTTAAAGGGCTGGGAGGATTATACCAAATAGTGCCCAGAAAGCATTTAGCAGTGTCTGGCATACGGTAAACACACGTTAGTTTGTTTACTCACTTTGTGACTGGAGTCACAAAGTGAGTTTAAGCCAACATTAGAGGATTTGGGGCTAAGAATTGGGTTACACATCTGTGTTAATGGCTCCCAATGCCTGTGCTCATCTGTACAAAATTTTCTCTGATTCGGAGTGGAGTGTATTTATCCAGCAAATAGTTACTGAGTGCCTCCTATCTGCCAGGCACTGTTGTAATGCAGACCTGAGGACACAGCAGTAAGAAGAGCACAAAGTTCATGAACAAGGGACAGTAAACGAGATATGCTGTATAATAAATTCTGTAATTGCTAGAAAGTGATAAGTATAAAGAAAAAATATGAAAGGGGATAGAGACTCTGTACGGTGAGAAGGGCCGGGATGAACGTGTTGATCTTACACAGAAAGCCTCCTGAGATGGAGATAGTTGAGTGAAGATCAGAAGAGGCGGAGGGTACAGTCAGCCCTTCCCATATCTTTGCAGAGAGGGATCAGCAAAGGCAAAGCATGGCACAGAGTGAGGGAAGGGAGAGAAGTAAAAGAAAAGTCTAGATCTGTGCTTTCCAACACAATGGCTGTTGAGCATTTGAAATGTGGCTCATCTGAATTGAGATGTGCTGCCGGTGTAATTACACACAGGATTTCAAAGACAGTATGAAAAGAGGAATGTTGAATATCTTACTAACAACTTTTATATAGACTACATATTGAAATACAGTATTTCATAATAACAAATATTCCAAAGTAATATTTTGGACATACGAAGTTGAATAAAATATGCTGCTAAATTGTTATTTTTTCAAACGTGACTACTAGAAAAATTAAAATTAAGTACGTGGCTTGCATTATATTTTATGAGACAGCGCTGGTCTAGAAACTCAAGTAGCAGCAGCTCCAGATCATCAAGGTTCCCCTAAGCTATTGTTTGTGCTTCGGCTTTTCCTGGGAGAGCCAGTGGAGGGTTTTAAGCCAGATTCTAGGCTGTTGGGTTGCAGGGAGAGCAGTTAGCGGACTAGTGGTAATCCAGGCAAGAGATGATGCTGGTTTTGCAGACCAGGGAGGTAGTACTGGAAGGTGGTCAGAAAATTAAAGACAATGCAGTATTTATTATGTTAAATTCATTAAATTTAAGTAAACCATCTGTTGTTTTAAGGTGATATCTTTCCCACTTTGTTTGTGGGTGAAATATACATATATATTTAATGCAGTGACCATGATAGTAACTGATAGTTTCTGTGTTGGTTTTAACGTCCTTATATGGCCAAATAAAAGATTGGCAGTCCTAGTTAAGTATATACACTGCAGTCCACTTTTCTTGAAATTGTACAGGTTTTAAAATTATGAAAGTCTGAGAACCACTAAACCTGACTGGGGAGGGAGGGTAGCGTGGAAATGTAAAGGAGTCCAGGCAGCAGAACCTAGAGATGTAAAACTTTTGGGCTGGTGGCTCTACAGAGAATGAGAATGAGAGAAGAAGAGGAGAGTTTCAGATTGTTTTCAGACCAAGCTGGAAGGGCAGGGAGGGGCCATATCAAATTCCTTCCCCCCAGGGTTCAAAGACAAATTGTCCCCAAAGACACATTTCTCAGATTAAGTCAAGCAGCAAGGATAGCAATGTCCAAAGATATCCTTCTCAGGATATTGTGGACAGACATCTTCCTACTCATCATGAAGTCCACAGAAAAGGAGCATGAATTTAGGGAGGGATTAGTGGTGGCTTCAGCTTTGTTATTCTACTGAGACAGATGCCATGAATTTTTTATTGTTTTATGTAGATAATCACATTTCTTAACCAGTGTCACCCCCATGCCTCATTAGATAAGTTTGTGAAGATAAATTTATTTTTTAATTTTTATTTTTTAAAGATTTTATTTATTTGTCAGAGAGAGAGAGAGAGAGAGCGAGCGAGCACAGCAGGGGCAGGCAGAAGCAGAGGCAGAGGGAGAAGCAGCCTCCCCGCTGAGCAAGGAGCCCGACGCAGGACTGGATCCAGGACCCTGGGATCAAGACCTGAGCCCAAGGCAGCTGCTTAATCAATTGAGCCACCCAGGCGTCCCTGTGAAGATAAATTTATAGCAAGTAGTGAGCACCTAATATATACTCAAAGACTGTTTATCAGATGTTAAAGTGAATTAATGACTGGAAAAAAACAATGGAAAGAATCAGGAAAACATGTAGATGTTTAGTAGTCTAGGTAATGGGCAAAAAGCATTGGTTGTGGGGATAGAGGCAAGAATGGTAAGTCAAGTCTTAAAGGAGAGCCCAGGATTTACAATTGAGAACTGAGGGGCGCCTGGGTGGCTCAGTCAGCTGGGTGTCTGCCTTCCGCTTGGGTCATGGTACCGTCATCCTGGGATCGAGCCCCGCATCAGGCTCCTGGCTCAGCGGGAGTCTGCTTCTCCCTCTCCCTTTGCCCCTCTCTCCTGCTCATGCTCTTGCGCACGTGCGTGTGCACGCTCTCTCTCAAATAAGTAAATAAAATCTTAAACAAATAAAAATAATAAAAAATAAAAATTGAGAACTGAATCCAGCACATTAGGAAAAAGGTTAACAGGGGAAATGTTGAAGAATGATGAGCAGTTCCACTGTGCTGAGAAAAATTTTAAAGGTCTGTTTATTTTTTATTTCTTACCAAATGAATATGGAGACTGTCTAAGATTTTTCCTGGCAGAATTTTGAACTTAAATTTGTTGCATAGTTCAGGAGGTGTGGAGTGCACACCTTGGCCCTAAGTGGGGAAGACCAGGGAAATAGGCAAAGCATGATTGCAGACATAAAGGAAGGGCATGTTTGTCGCTTCGCACTCTGTGCCTTGACGGAGAAAGCCAACCATTACTAAGCAAATCTCCACAAATGGAATAAAGGGCAAATGGGGTTTTATTGTAGAATTTGTTCCAAAGAAGGACTGAATTTTGTGCATACCCAAAGAATCAGCACCATATACTTTTTAAAACTTTCTTTATTGTGGTAAAATATGTATTACATAAAAATTTCCATTTTAACCATTTTCAAGCATTCAGTTTAATTGTGTTGAGTACGTTCACATTGTTACAAAATGACCTCTACTCTCCATCTCCAGAACTTTTTCGTCATCCCCAAATGGAACTTTGCACACCCATTAAACAATTAGTCCCCAACCCCCCTCCCCCAGCCCCTGGCAACCACCATTCTGCTTTCTATCTCCGTGTAATTGACTATGCTAGGTATCTCATATAACTAGAATTATGCAATATTTGCCCTTTTGTATCTGACTTGTTTCACTAAGCTTGATATCAAGGTTCATCCATGCTGTAGAACGTGTCAGAATTTTATTCCTTTGAAGGCTGAATAATATTCCATCGTATGTATATACTACATTAATGAAATATACTTTCAAAGGAAGGGGCCCAAAGCTGCCTGTTAGGTACAGGAGGGCAACATAAGGTTTACCTGAGACGTTTTGATGTCCCTTGGGGAATAAGGGCTCCTCATCAAAGGACAAACAACAGTTTGTGTGAGAGATTTCAGCAACGGGAAAACACCCTCTTTCCTTTTACTGTCACAGTAAGTTCACTGGGCGAACTGCGAATTCTTTCCATAGCTGTCCAGGTTTGGGTTTTCTGCAGGAGGAATTACAGTTTACCAGCAAATTCACACACTAGTGTTCTGCTCTACCATTCTCTCTGTGGGTAGATGTAGTAAGTCCACCCACTTGTGCATTAGCTAACAATAATGTCTTGGCTTGCAGAGTTCACAGACTAACCCTCGATCCAAGGTATGGTTTGAGACATTCTTTACAACGAAAAAGCTACAAAATCGCTAAAGGCAAACCAACAAGCAAAAATGGAAACCAAAAAAAAAGAAAAACAAAAATAGAACCCTATGGTCTGATCATGAATTTAAGGTGACAAAATCAGCACTCCAGACTGGGCTCGTCATTCCTTTTCTCAAATCCACTCTCCTTGTGACTTCATCTGACTTGTGGCAACACCGTGTTGCCAGTTCCTTAAACTAAAAAAGGAAGGACGTCGCTTCGGTTCTTCCCACCTTCCTCATGTTGTCCCCAAGTCCTGCTGATTTTGCCTCCTAAAGATATGTTTTGAGGCTCATTCTCTTCTCTACATTCTTTATAGTCGTGCCACAGTTCAAGCTTGTATCCTCTGTTGGCTGAGTCATTGTCAACTGCCTACTAATCTTTCTCTCTTCCTGCAGTATTGACCCCTAAAATCTGTTCTCCATACGTCAGCAAGAGTAATCAGTATAATTCACATATCTGATTCTGGCATTTAATCAGTGCACTTAGTATGACACACAATGCCCTTTAATCTGGACTCTTACTGGCCTTGAGCTTTATGACCCAGCAACGCCAATCGGCTGATATTTTCCCACTGACCTTTCTTCGATCCATCCCTTGTTTGCACTCTGCCTGCCTGCCCTTTCGCCTCTCTTTACCTGTCTGTTCCACTCACTCTTAAGACCCTACTCTGGTACCTTTCCTTTTTTTCTTTTTTTTTAAAGATTTTATTTATTTATTTGACAGAGACACAGCGAGAGAGGGAACACAAGCAGGGCGAGCAGGAGAGGGAGAAGCCGGCTTCCCGCCGAGCAGGGAGCCCGACGCGGAGCTCGATCCCAGGACCCTGGGATTCTGAGCCAAAGGCAGACACTTAACAACTGAGCCACCCAGGTGCCCCTGGTACCTTTTCTTCTAGAACTCTATTTCATGCCCCTCCTCTGTGTTCCCATAACTTTCTGTATATTTTTCTGTTATTATACTTAACCACAGTGTGTTAGTTTGAACCATGTGAAACTGCCAATATTCAATCCTTTATTCCGACACAATAACAATTTCATATGTCCTACCTAAATCTTATACTTTTTGTTTCTTTCTACTAGACCGTGAGCTTGCTAAGGTCAGTACTCTGTCTCTTTCATATTTCTATCTGTAAGGTTCTTCTAAGCACCGTGAATGACCCACACATTAAAATTTTAAAAGAATGAGTGAATGAACGAATGTAATGAGCCCCTTATTTATTTATTTAGCTAGAAAATTGATGTATGTGGATAGTTTTTAGTGACAAAGAAAAAGCTAAATATTATTTTTTTAAATCTTGATATGGAATACACACACACACACATTCACAAAGTATGTAAAATTCATGAATACAAAACTAGTATTTTAAGATTTTTATGTTCTTTAAAAAAGCTTGCTTTAAGTTTGGTTCCAAATAAAAGAATCTTGTCAAAGTACTAAGAGCAAAGTGTACCTATATCCCTGTCAAAAATGTGTCCAGTTAAATTCCCGCCTAATGCTAGTTCCAACAATCTGACCATCCCTAATTATTTTCAGCTGTTGATGTAATATGTTCATGTCATTTATTTCATTCTCTTTTCAAACTTTTTGTTGCCTTTCCTAGCACGGAATTGAGGACACAGTTGCTGAATGCAGGAGACTGGGTGCGAAGGCTTATGCCTTTGTGGTAGACTGCAGTAACCGAGAAGATGTTTACAACTCTGCAAAGAAGGTGAAATTTTGCATTTGGTTAGGATCGGGTCATGTCAGAGCTTGGAGGGATTCTGGAGATGACACCGTCACGATGCAGACAAAGTAGCGGGAGTTTTGTGATTTGCCTAAGGTTGTGCAGCCAAGTAGTGGCAGACCCAGAACTAGAACCTAGAACTGAGTTTCCCAGACTTGAGTGTGTTCTAGAATCTTCCAGAGAGCTTCTTAAAAAATGACACGCCCGAGGTTTGCTTTCAGTGGATCGGGGGCTAGGCCCAGGAATCTGCCCGTTTAGTACCCTACATACCCACCCACGCCTCACCCATGTGATTCTGCTACAAGTAAATTCTTGGATGACACTGCAAATCACTGATGGGGTCTTCAGATGCCCAGTCAAAGAACTGGGTTAGGGAGTTAGAATAAATTTAACTGTTTATCAGGCTTTGATCATAGATTTCTCTCTGTATAGCAGTATTTGCCTCTTCAATATACAACTGAAAGATGCCATGTGTATATAATGGAGCTTCACTCCGAACGCATTTATACATGTACTTGTTGAGTAAATGCTACAATAGTAAGAAAGTCAGTAGAATTATCTGAGCAAATTCCTTAAAACACACATTCCTGGACCTTACCCCTGGATAATCTGATCCAGTACAGTATAAAGATTCTGATTCAACCCGCCTTGAGAACCTCCTTGTTTAGGGAATTTTAGATTTGAGGACATTTTTAACTTCTGTTTTTGAATTGTAAACTTTTATTTCAAGCTAATGCCTCTATTACTGGTGAGGCCTGAGCTAAGTCAAAAGAATAAGTAGAAATTGGGGCACCTGGGTGTCTCAGGTGACTGACTTGATATCAGCTCCGGTCATGATCTCAGGGTCATGAGATCGAGCCCCCATGTATGGCTCTGTGCTGGGTGTGGAGCCTGCTTGGGATTCTCTCTCTTCCCCTCTCCCTCTGCCCCTCCCCACACTCCACCTCCCCCACTCCCTCCCTCTCTTAAAACAAAACAAAACAAAACACCAACTAAGTAGAAATTACCCAGACTAGTGGTGGGGAATAGCTTTCCTGGGGGGAGGTACAGTAAGAGCAAGGCCTGTAGACAAGAAACATCTGCATTTAACAGTTACTATTTTACTTAAATTAACGATGATTTTCCTTTAGAGAGATGTACACTCTTCCAGTTACTACTGGCTCTATCATTGCAAGTTACTTAACCTCCCTGTGCCTAAGTTTCCCCAGTTATAAAATGGGGATCACAGCAGTACCCACCTCAGAGCTGTTAGGAGGATTAAGTGAATTAATGATGTAAAGTCTTTGAATCAGTCCCTGGCACACAGTGATTGCTTCTAGACTCATCTGGGAATAGGCTGTCCTGGAAAAGGTAATTTCATTATTTGAACCTATTCCATGGGTTTTAACCCTAGTGTTTTTCCTGAAATTGCTCAAGGAACAAACAATATGCTTAACAGAATATGCACAATGACATGTGACAGTCAGATATTTTGAAGTGATTTTGATGTGGTTACTTTAATATCAGGACATTTTTGTGTCACCTAAGCATTTAAACTCATGGCTTGCTTTCACTACTGAGAAATGTGCAGAGCAGACATTCACGGTGTGGAGAGGCAATAGGGGATGATGGGGAGCCCAGGGATGAAGGAAGGGACAAGTGTGTGCGGGCAAATTCTTTGGCAGCATAGAAGAGCGATTTGTATTTTAAGTCATGCTAGTTTGGAGGCATTACAACATCTTCGTCACTTCAACCACACACACTGTCCTGTTCTTCTCAATAACCGAGGGGCATTATTCTGAACAACAGTTTTCATATCATGCTAGAGATGTGGCTGTAGGTACAAATAGTGTTGAGCAAGGGCCCAGTATCTTAGCTTGACTCTTTCATACTTTAAAACAACCTGATGAGTTCATTTCTGGCTGACAAGCCTCCAGCTGTTGGCACACTGGTGTCCTACTGGGTCGCTGATGGGTATCCCACCTCCTGGCCTCCTTTGTGTTTGAGCTCTGAGGTTTGTCTTGGGCTCTGAGGTCAGAAGATCTGGGAGAGTGTCAGCTCCATGTGACCTTGAATAGTCACATGACCTTGAGCAAGAAACAGCCATTCTGTGTTTCATGTTTCTCATCTCTAAAGTGAGCATACCAAGGGTTGCCAGCTCATGGAATTATTCTGAGAATTAAATGAGATAAATAATGAAATTGTGCAAAATGCATAGCACAATGAAAGCCTTTAACAGGCTATTTGCCACCTCCCCCTCAGTCCCCCAGCACACTGCAGCACTATCTAAATATGATAACTCTTAACAGAAGTTAGCTTTTATTTGGAGCACAGTGTATAACAGAATGCATTGTAACTCTAGGGCCTATCCACCAAGAAGCTTAGTTACTCAAAGAACTGTAAAAATATCAGATAAGATATTCTGGCATTGCCAGCCCTTAGGCCAACTGTCACCCGCAGGGGGAAGGTTGTTGAGCAACAAAATAAATAGTTTGTACTACAAAAATAAAGAAATAGAAGATGTGACCAGCTTAATGGTATAATCAGTTTTACATAGATTCCCAGATCGTTCCTGCATTTGCCAATTGATTAAAAAAATTTTTTTTGCTTACCTTTTGAAGCAGTATTTAAAAAATAAATGCTGTTTTTGGTTTTTTTTTGTTTTTTGTTTTTGTTTTTTGCCACTGGTTATGTTTTTATTAGCCATATGCCTCTCAGAGTAAAATCAGTAGAGCAAAGTCAAGAGCCTAAATTGCAAAAGAAAACTTCTACTTAACCAGACTTACAGGTAGAGCTGTTTTGAAATTAAGTACCTAAGATTAAAAGGTTCTTTTTTCCATATTGGCACATAGAGTACAAAACTACTTTCCCCCCCCACATCTAATAGAGGAACACGTAGTTCTTTAATAATCCTTGCATGCAAACCTTCCTTCATAACTCTTTATGATACAGATATTTGTCTTATTTTTAAAGGTGAAGGAAGAAATTGGAGATGTTAGTATTTTAGTAAATAATGCTGGTGTAGTCTACACATCGGATTTGTTTGCAACACAAGACCCTCAGATTGAAAAGACTTTTGAAGTTAATGTACTCGCACATTTCTGGGTAGGTATGACTTCTTTTATGAAAATATTCCCTTTTGTAAAATCCAAAGACTATGTTTAAAGTGGAGATTTCAGGACACCTGGGTGACTCAGTCAGTTAAGTGTCTGCCTTTGGCTCAGGTCATGATCCCAGGGTCCTGGGATCAAGTCCTGAATCAGGCTCCTTGCTCAGGAGGGAGCCTACTTCTTCCTCTGCCTGATGCTCCCCCTGCTTCTGCTCTCTCTCTCTCTTTGACAAATAAATAAATAAAATCTTAAAGTGGAGATTTCAGCAGACATAAAGATGTATCAAATTAATACTGAAGTTTTCTCCAGGTACTAAGGATAATACACAAAGAGGTCATTTTTCAGGGCTCATTTGGAAGAGCATGAGACTCATGATCTTGAGGTCGTGAGTTTGAGCAACATGTTGGGTTGAGATTATTAAAAAAAATAAATAGACTTAAAAAAAAGAGGTCATTTTTCATGCTCTGACCAAATCTCATCAACCATTCTTCCTCCCCCTTAGTAATATTAATACTAATAATTAATTAATAATAAACTTTAGGAGTTATGTATCTTTTAATTTTAAACTAGATTCTCTCATCTATGTGACATTGTTTATGAAGAAAGGGATTAGGGGTCATCTGAGTCCTTTTGCATGGTGTTTATATTTTTTTAATTTTTTTTAAAGATTTTATTTGTTTATTTGAGAAAGCGAGAATGAGAGAGAGAGAGAGCACATGAGGGGGGGTAGGGTCAGAGGGAGAAGCAGACTCCCCGCCAAGCAGGGAGCCCGATGCGGAACTCGATCCCGGGACTCCAGGATCATGACCTGAGCCGAAGGCAGCCGCCCAACCAACTGAGCCACCCAGGTGCCCGGATTCTCAAAGTTTTCAGTATCCATTGCTTTGCTTACTTTTTCCAATCTATGCATCCTATCCAGTTGTCTTAATTTGTCACATTTGGCAATTAATTGGGTTTTTTTCCCTTTATTCTAGGAAAAGTGTTAACAAAATATAGCTTTGGAAATATTCCCAGTGGGTCTGCAGATCAGAAATAACAATATATATTTTTCTCTTAATAAACACAATTTCTAGACTACAAAAGCATTTCTTCCAGTGATGATGAAGAATAATCATGGCCATATTGTCACCACGGCTTCAGCAGCTGGGCATGTTGGGGTCCCCTTCTTACTTGCTTATTGGTGAGCATGCATTTCCTTAATTTGTTTCTATGTTTAACTTGTGTGTGATTTCTTACCCTGTCCAATGAAAACTACCATTAATGATGATAAACTTGAAGTTGCCCAAATAGAAAGTTGCACAAAGTCTCTTGTACAACAGCATTATCAACCATTAACCCCCTCCAGGCTGACCATTCTAGAGGTGGCTGCAGGGAAATTATCCGATTAGAAGCCAGCTCTTTTAAAAGAAAAAAAAAAAAAAGCTTTTATTTACTTATTTGAGAAAGAGAGAGCTCTAGAGAGAGAGCAAGCACAAGAGGGAGACGCAGGCTCCCCGCTGAGCAGGCAGCCCGATGCAGGGCTCCATCCCAGGACCCTGGGATCATGACCTGAGCCGAAGGCAGATGCTCAGTGACTGAGCCACCCAGGCGCCCCAGAAGCCAGCTCTTAAAGCATTTCTCATCCCTTTAGCAGCAAGAAATTATAAAACAAGAGTAATATTTTTGTACCATGAAGAAAAGTTAATAATAAATTTTAATAATTTTATGGAAACAAAACGGTATAAAGAGAAAGAGTATAATCTAGGATTCTAAACATTAAAAGCATCCCAACAGTGGAATTGTAAAAAAAATTATAATAGTTATACATTTAAAAACCCATGCCATTATAATACCTGAAGAACTTACTGTAGCAAGCAGGGCACAGTAGTGGTATGCTCCACTGTATACTGTAAAGAATTGATTAGTGAGGCCACCATACCCCAGGGGATCCTACTGGTTGCACATACCCCAACAGTGCTTGGCCATTTCTATATTTTAAGCAAGTAATAACTCTTAAAATGTTGAATTGTGTAAATAATATGTATTGTCCAATAAATATACATATACATATGCTCAAATTTGTTTTCTACCATCATGCTCTTTTGGAATTAAGTATCTAAGTTCTAGAAACAACAGCTATAGTTGTGTGGGTATAAATATATAAACATTGGCATGGGTGGGTATCTTATTTGTATCTAATGTAAATATATGTATATATCCATATATAAAAGATCTATATCTTGCATTTTACAAGTTCCCAAGGATATATACCAAGCCATTTTCCTCTAACCACACCTAGAGAGTGGTTATTCTTTGATAATGACAAGTAATTTTATTTTGTTCCTTTTATTCATCTCTGTTTTCTTTCTTAACATATATTTGTTTTCTAATAGCTTTTAAAATCAACACAGACTTGGATTGAGGCTTTTTTTCTAAAAGATGAAAGGACTGCTGAGGCAGTCACAGAGCAGACCTATGGTCCAGAGCCCGTGGAAGTTTGGTGATTGTCCCCTGGCCGTCTGAGACTGATACAATTTGGCCTTCCTTCACTTGATGAAAGATAGCTGCAGGTGTTGCTTCTCAGCTACTACATGGCACCCTGTTCCCCTGCCAGATTCTTAGTCCCCAGGTATCCAGATGAGCCAAGAGAACCTGAGTCCAGCAGGGCTGGGAAAGCTGTCATGCCTCCTCCTTCTCTTTGCCATAGTAAATACTGTAGCTCTTTTGATTCGGATTTGATTCTATTCCATTGAATGTTCAGCAGTGAAAATCAAGAGAGAACGTGTTTTGCGTGAGAAACCAATTTATTTTGGTCACCATTGATAGTGCTTTCAGCAGAACTAAAAGATCTCACCGCGTCTTGTCAAAGCAGGAACGACACACACAGTTGTGTGGATTGTCGACTACACAGTTCTAGGCTGCACTGTTCATATTCAGGTCCCTTTAAACTCGAAAGATTTTCCAGGAGATGGCCATAAAGTCGCTTGAGGAGAGGTAGGTTTTTCTTCTTCACACAAAGGCACCGTTTGGGCTGAAAGGTAGGGTCGCAAGCACACAAGTGGTTTGTGCACTTCTGGCTTTGGGATGGAGCGGCGGCTTGCTTGCCCTATAGGACTCTTCTTTGGATGCTCAGCTGCACATGGCCTGAGCTGCTGCAGTCTGTGATCCTTAGTGACCATAACTGTCTTGGATTCAGTTGACTCTGGTTTTTGCTCAGCGTCTTATCAATGATAGAGCTTTCGCAGAGACACACTGAAGACTTCTCCCAGCAGAAAGCAGTGTTTATCAGTGGTTGTTACTAACAACTGGGCAATGCAACTGAGATGCTGCTTTTTAAAACAAACTTTTTTATTGACATATAGCATACATTGGTTAAAAACACAGAAATCATAAATGTGCAGCTCAATGACCTACTGTAAATGGACGCATCTATTTAACCACCATGCAGGTCAAAAAATAGGACAAGACCTTAGAAGCACTTTTTAGAACTCTTCGCAACCAGCAGTCCCTCTTTCCTCCTCGAGGGTAACCCCTGTATTGAGGGTAACCCCTGTATTGACTTGTAACACCACAGATTAATTTTGTCTATCTTTGATCTTCATATACACAGAATCACGCTATGTTTGTGAGGTGTATCCTTGCTGTTGTTGGTAGCTACAGCTTCATCATTTTCTTGCCTGCATAGTTTTGCGTGATGTGACTAGACAGTTGTTTATTTATCCATACTAGTGTTTACAAACATTTGGGTTGTTTTCAGGATGGGACTATTGTGAATGATATGGTTATGAATCTTGACTCAATCACTTACTAACATTATGTGACCTTTGGCAAGTTACTCAACTCCTCTGTGGTTCATTTTCTTCACCCCTATGAGAGGCTAATCATAGCAACTAACTAAATCATCAGGATGGTGTAAAGTTTAAATCGTATAATGTAATGCACTTAGTATAGAATCTGGAGTCCCCTAAGTGTTCAATAACAGGAGGGTACCTGTTGATGTCACATTCCAATTCTACTTTCCTGTAATCACACAAAATAGCAAAGTCCTGCCTCTCATTTTAGCTTCCAGAATGCTTTGCCTCAGTGGAACTAATCCCATATGCTCCGGCTCCCCCAATGTTGAAATGAAATGAGAGGGGGTCTGGAATTACCCGATTCTTTTCCATGTAATCGAGCCTTTATCTGCCACTGGCCTGAGTTGCTTTAATATATTTGTGCACTTTTAGTTCACTTAAGAAAAATCAGAAAATACAGTGTAGTAAAAGAAAAAAAAATTACCAATAATCTTACAGAATGCAGAAATCATCGTGGTTAGCATTTGTTATAATCTAGGACACTTTCAATACAGTTATATAGTCAAGCATTGAAAAAAATCTGCCTACATAATCTTGGCTTTTTAAAATTTTAAATGAACATTGTGCACGTTAATACATACATGTGCAATATCATTTCATTTTTTGCATGGTATGCCGCTGCACATATGTGCCACTGTTTATGCAATTTATCCATTATTGTTGCACAGTTCATTTGTCAGGACTCTTTCAGTTACAAGGAACACAACACTTAAACTGCCTGGGACCAAAAGAGGAATTGTTTAGCTCTGTAGTTAAAACTCTCAGGCAGGCTCTTTGCCTCTGTTGGTGAGGTAGTTCCCGAGTAATGTCCCCCAATAACCAGCAGGTAGGGGAAAAGCCATTGATTTCCCAGTACTGCCTTCAAACGCTCTAGCTCCAGAGGTCACTCCAACTGGCTGGATCCAGCCACTGTACAGGGTGCCACCTGCGTGATGTGGAATAGGAAGGCCAAAGGGCAAAAACAACAGCTGTTTGTTGTTTTTGCCAGACATTTAAAATTGTTTCCAACTATTGGCCTTCATTGGACTAACCTTGAATATAAATCTTTAGAAACATGA